AATAGAATTGGCTAGTTCTTCTCCTTCTTGACGTTGGGATCTTACAGGGAAGGAATGCTCCATCATGAGATGAGGAATGGGAAAGGAAAAAGGGACAAAAAAACTACACGAAAAAACAACGTATGTCCTCAGACAGGCCATGGGGTAACTAAAGAAGTATGGAAGAACTCCCGTCTAGCCTCAGTGTCCTGCAGAGAAGGGTAGGACAAAACCATTTTGTCACAGGACAAAAGAAAATCATGATTTCAGAGACCTCAAGTGAGGCATGTGGTAACACAGGCTGTTGTTTCATAGGTTCTCCCCTCACTCACCACCCCTCAGCTGTCAGTTGTGTGAATCCAAGTTGTCAATTACATTAAAGTCTGCTTTTAAAGCCAAATCAGCAGCAGATCTAGCTAGGTTAAAAATAAACTTCAAGAATGCTTAGGCATGGAACAAGCAGCTGACCAGGAGGAACTTTGTGAATTATTGCACCAGTTCACTTCTCGCCAAAACCGTGGTATCGTGTAGATACATCCTCAAGACACTCAAACCTATAGGACTTCTTTTAAGCACTGTTAATTTAACCAAACCTCCAGTGAGGCCCCCTTTCAAATACCATCTTTCCAGCAGCATCAGGGAAGGATTACATCTCAAGAAAGGCTCTGGAAGAAGCAGCAGGTAACTGCTTTCAAAGCAGATCCTGGCAAGCAGTCCGTGTTTGCCAAGCAAATCCTGAGCACAGCACCAAGAGGAGCACCAAGTCAGGAGCACCTGTGGCGTATGAGGCACGGACACCAGTTGTGGTGCAACTAAAGGCAGTTATTGAGTGAGCTTACAGGCTTTTATCATATCCTGCCTAGCCATCATCAGGCAATGGCTTTACTGATCAGGCGCTTTTTCAACCAATCATATGCAACTGTTCTTCCGGATAAGGCAAGTGCTTGCCCAAACATGTTCTAATGTTCTAATGTGTTCTTTCTACCGCTACAAACATTACAAGTGCTTGCCGGGACATGTCATGAATAAGGCAAGTGCTTGTACAAACACGTTCTGCTGCTGCAAGCATCGTTACTTTTGGCCCACAATCAGCCGTGGACCCTGGGCTCTGAGGAGCACGTGGCAGCCACATGCCACACCACGCACATAAACCCTGTGCAAAGGAAAGCAGGAGAGTCCCTGGGGAGCACGTAACAGTGCAAGCAACAGGGAGACGCAGGTTGAACAGCCCAGAGGAAGGTGGGGCGGGTGCCCGGTGGGCCTGCGGGGAGGCAGTTAAAGGAGGAAGGAGGCAAGAAGCACTTGATGCCATGGTGATGGGTAGAGTGCACAGACCCACGCAGGCAGGCAGGAACCACGCTGCCTCCAGCTATTTTTGAAGCGGGTGGCAGTTGTTTGTGCATCCCAGGGATAAAAGCTCTCCAAGACGGATCGAGGAGGGGAGTAATTAAACCTCAGGAAGACAATAAATAACGAGAGGCCATGGAACAGCAGCAAGATCTTAGCGGCCATGGAGAAGAGCTGGCCACCCATTCCCGCCCTCTTTCCTCCCCCATCCATCACCGACCACTTGGGGTTTGGCAGTGTGCTCACTTTCCCACAGTAGCCGATCTATTACTGTTTGGAAGAGCATTCCCAGCCTCTTCCTTCCCCTCCTCCCCTCCTTTCAGGCCACAGGGGTCCTGCTTGGCAGCCCCCAGATCCCCCTCTTCCCTGAATGTCTGGTGACCAGCCAATCCCATGCAAAGAGCATTAACCCCTCCTCACCGGGAACAGCCGGAGAAACCTGACTCCATGCCGAGAGGTTTCTCCAGGGTGTCTCTCCCTCCTTCCCATCCCCGGCTCCCTCCACACTCCCCATTCGCTTGCCTCTTCCCCCTTCCCTTTTATTTCCAAAACCTAACTCCAGCCCTGGGAGTGTCGTGTCTTCTCGAGAATGTTACACGAACCCATGGGGATTTTTCTTGGACCAAGAACAGACCCTTATTTATTTGTCTCTTCTGCCTTTGTTCTTCATTTTCCTCTTTCAAGACTTAAGCAAGACCTCGACACAGTGCCGCCCGGGTTCCCCGCTGCCACTTCACTTTGCTATTATTTTCGGAAAGAAAGTGCTGATAGGCAGAGAGCTCTTCAATGCCTCACCCTAAGGCAGGAGTAAATCAGCCCAGACTCCCACCTCCGGGGTGGACAAAGGGCACAGGCTCGGGGGCTCTGCAGAGCACCTCGGGCTCTGGCTTGCAGACAACCCCCTGCTTATGTTATCCTTCTGACTGCAGCATCACAGCCCCTCGGATTAAATCCACACGAATCAAACCTTCAGTAACAGCTCTATGCCGGTAACAGGCATATGGTACCACGAAAAGAGGCAGTTTCCCAGAATGAAATCAAAAGCCTCCTAATGCACTTCACTCAGGGTCACATAAATCTCTCTCCTGCCTCCCACAGATGGCTGGATCTTGTTTACAGGCATTGCAGAAGGCCTGGGTCTCAACAATATGTTTACTTCTTCTGTACAAACATTGCCTTTCACTAAGCAAAGCACTACCCCGATCGCCAGATTACACCAAGTGGAAAGATCTAGGACCAGGTCTATGGGGAAAGAGGGGGACAACTAGTCTTCAATGAAACAAAATGCCATTCTGGACATCACACACATTCTGGGGACAATTTGCATTCCCATTCTTCCCTTACATGGTTTTATTTCTTGAGAGGGATAAGGAGAAATTTTGCATTTAGCCAGTTGCCAACATCCCTGGTGAGGTAAAACCATTCAATGAAAGAATAGGTTTTGTTTCAGGCTGAAGAACCTGAAAACCATGCCAGGGCTAGGTGGGGCAGCATGGCTTGTCCATGGCACATCTGGTGACTGTCTGGCTAACTCTTCCCCAAATGAAAGAGCCACAAACTGACACCATACAGATAAAATCAGTGAAGCATTTCTGCTCAACAGTGCAGTAGACAGAGCAGTTCACTGCCACAATCACTTGATTACAGGCCAAGTTCTTTTCCCTTTCCACCCTCAGCCCTTTCCCTCCCCTTTCAGGTCTTCAGCAACACAAACATTTATATTGTTTGGTTTTTGAGAAGCTGCCACAGCCAGGTCAAGAAGGACGGAGAAAAGGAACACCAATGTGTGAGTGCACCACGAAAACTGATGGTGGGCAAGAAGGACGTGCAACACAGAGGGGGAGCCATGGTCATGTTGAAGTCACCGAGACAAGCAGGGCAGGAGTGGGACAGCCCATCTGCATGGTACAGCAACCTGCCACAGTGAAGCAGAGGACCAAGAGGCATGATGCTGATAACTAGCTGGGGTGGGTGCTCAGCCTGCCCAGCTCATCTTCATGGTGCTCCTCTGCTGCGAGAGCCTCTATAAAACCTGCCCCAGTCTCTCTCTGCCCTCAGCTGGCTGCTGTTCAGGGCTCAATCACTGAGAAGTGATGGGAATTTCAGCTGCGCAGTTTGCTGCTCAACCACCTGATCTTTCATGTCTTCAGGTCCTGATGAGCTCTTGTAAGGTCCAACAGACCGTGTCGTGCCAAAGCTAAAAAGCACTTTGGGAGGACAAGGTGGACCTTGGAAGGAAAAAAAACACGCCCTCAAGCATCTGAATATTTTAGAGAACAGTCCCAGTGATCCCTGCCCCAGACCCACAGCACTGTAACTGAATCAAGGGACCAAATCCCACTGTCTCCAGCTTGACACCATCTCCTTACTGCAAAGACATGGCTCTGAACTCAGGAAGCTCTCACATAGCCCCAAGTCATGGAGATGCTCTGCACTACCACACACACTCCTAAGCGATGTGGAAACCAGAACTGGATTTTCAGGGCAATTCAGCTGCACAGAGGCATATGTGAACAAACATGGGCAGAAAGGAAACCTACAGCACTTCCTCATCACTAAGTGGTAGACTCTGGATGGCTGACAAACACCCCTTCCCTCTCTTCCCCCAACACGCATGAGAAGCGAGAAGACTCTGTTCCAGAGCACAACTGCACTATAAATAATTCAAGAGACTTCTAAATTATGCAAAAGCAATCCCATCATCCCCTTGGCCAAGCTGAATGCAGGTGTGGTCAACCCTTGCTCTAGAAGTTGCTGCTACACAGGGATTTCAAGGCCACAGAGGCTCTGTGCCAATAGCACATATCTGAAAGCACAATGGCCAGTTACTAACAGGCTGGCTGCACCAAACAACAGCACGGCAGGAGGCATTTGGGGACACAGGACTGATGGGGAAATAGCAATTCCTTCAACCCACCTCTTCTCCAGGGACCTCATACGGCCCCCAGAGAAAAATCAACAAATCACGTCCCCTTCAAGTGAGGCTGCTTGGTACATCTCGCCGCTATTGATCATGGTTACTTGGCGAGAGCATCAGCCGGACAGCACTGGCACAGTGAGACAGGGAGGAGAGGACTGCCAGGGCAGGTGGGAAGGAGAAAAGGGAACTGAACTACTACAGAGGCAGGAAAAAAGGAACAGCTTTGCCAGCACAAATAACGTACAGGGAAGGCTGAGCTAAAAGCAGAGAGAATCACAGTCTGCTTTGCTGTCCCACTCCTTTGCCTTTGGGAGATACTGCCTCCCTGAGTATCAGGGCCACAGAGGTTTCCCTCGGCAATGGGGTCATTAAGCAACAGAGTGCAGCTCACACTGATCACTCCAGGGCAGCACTCTCCTGATTTACTCTGCCCTTTGCTCTGCCTCAGAGCCAGCCCTTGCACTACAAGCTCCATGAAAACAGGACTCCCTTACACACAGCAAGCACCATCTACTCTCAGCCCCTATGCAGGCAAACCCTTCTTCCAAAGCCCTACCTTTACCCAGCTCCTGCAGCCTCCGAGATCTGTCCATGTGCCCAACACGCTCAGTCTGCAGAGGCCTCTGTCCTCCTCTTTTTCCTTGCTGCCCAGCTAGAAGCATTTCTGCCAGAGGAAGGAGGAACTGAAAGCACTACCATAGCCTTCTCCTCAGCCTCAGTACAAGCACTTTAAAACCTCAGGGCTCTACCTTACCTTCCCCTTCTTTCTTAAAGGGCTCAGCATCTAGGAGAGAGACTCCCTTTCATGTCTCTTTGCCATGCTGTCTCTCTTGCTTTCTGTTCAGTTCCAGGATCTGCATGCTGAAACAGGGGATCCTAACACCAATAAAGTCAGTGTAGCAGATACCTGCTTTTAGATCATAGGTTTCACAGTTGCTGAAGCCGTTATGCAGCAGGTCTAATTTGCATTAGTCTTTCAGTATGCTTCAAATCTGCTCGCTGCAGCTTTGGTATCATGCAAGACACAATCAGCAATATTCCGCGATAAAAATTACCCCAAAGCCTTAAAGAAATGACAGAGTTTGATTCTGCTCGCTATCCCTGGCCCCACCTGTAAGGATTTACACACCGAATGGGAAAACAGCACTCCAAGGGAAAGGCAGCAGGGAGCTGGGATTATAGATTAGGCAGCAGATCAAGAAGCAGGCGATATCTGCAGTGAAAAGGATAGCAGGATCCAAGCAGCAACCAGAAAGTTATTGATAACCCCTGGCTCAGCACCACACCCGGCTGTTCTCTGGGATTTCCGAGACACTGGCAACAGAGCAAGCACAGGAAGTGGTGCGTTTCAGTCACTGCTCTCCTGCTGAGCCCCTGATTGTGCCAATGGGGATGTCACAGCCTTGCTCTGTGCCTCAGTTTCCATGGATGGGAAATGGGAGAGACGTCTTCTACTTCAGGTAAGGGGCTTGCTTAATTAAAAGAAGCTTAATGGGTTGCTTTGAGGCTCTCAGAGAGAAAACTTGTCATAAAATGCAAGACACAGATGATCCTCAGGAAGAGGAGTTGCCCCCACTGCCCATCTCTGGACAGCCACATCCACCTCTCCTGCTGCTTGCATGCTTACACATTACAGGCTGAAAACGCATGCTGGCAGAGTTCTGTTTGGTCATACCCAACAGGCATGCCCAATCTTTTGGAAAAGAAAAATCCCAAAAGAAGACATTATAAAAGCCTATCTAACACAGGCCTGGGCACTCCCTTAGCTGTGGAAACTGGGAATGTTAACCGAGCCCATCAAGTTGCCTGTTCAAATTTGGGGGGCGAGGGGAGGGGGGTGGTCTGTGTAATCTTGGCATGAAAGGCCAAGGTCCCCACAGTGAGCAGCACAGTTAATTTTTGCCATTCTAAAGCAGGGAATAATCACTTCTAAACTATGGCTTGAGAATAAGCCCTTGCTTTTTGTAAGGCAGCCAGTCCCCTTTATGCTGCTTCTTCCCTCAGCCTTCCTGATGAAAGCTCGGAGTGCAGTGTTGCACTCCCTTTCACCTATCAGGTTTACCAGGCAAGTTCCTGAGCACAAAAATACACCCACTGTGTTTCAGGTGTTCAGAGGTTTGAAGAACAGGAGGTACCTGTTGTGCTTCAGGAGGAGCTTGAGGGAAGTAAAGGGTTTGCACTGCAGGGAGCACAAAGAAGTCAGGAAAGGAAGGTAGAGAAATCCTGTTCCTGCCTTCCCAAGAGCTGCAGCCAGAATCCATTCCACAAGCATTCAGGTATGGAGTGCTCTTGTGTACCCTACGTTGCTGATCCAGTACGCAGCATCTCTTCCCACCTCCTCCAGGAGAAGGGGTAACTCAGCAGGTCCAGGACTGCACCTCTGCCCTGGCTCCTGGGACAAGCATCTGGTCCTGGCACTCCATACAGCATTGATACTGCTGCACAGCCCAGTCCCAGCAACACAGTCACCTAACTCTACCAAAGCACCCCAACCTGACCCAGAGCTGCCCACAAGCCCAGGCTTGCCCCCTTTTCTGACCTCTTTGCCAAGGCTCCTCAAGGCCAGCCTGCAGCACTGACCTGACAGCACAGTCCATGTGTACACCACAGATATGTCACTACCTTTCCAAGAAAAATCACAATGGAGAATAGGATGCATTCCTCAGATGTCCCCTCGTATTGCACTGCCCCACGTGCCTACCTTCCCAGATTTCACATCCCACTGTAACACTTCGTTGTAGTGCCACAAGATGCCATCCTGTCCTCAGAAAGAATGCAGTGCAGCCTGATCTTTTGTTGCAGAAATAACAGGTGACAGTGACTGTAGGGAAAAGCAGGTGGGGACAAGTAGCCACACTTCACTTTTACTGTCAGGGCTGATAGCATGAACCAGCCCTTTGAGGCACCTTACACTGACCTAAAGACAAGAAGACGGCTCTTGTGCCAGTCAGTACCCCCTCTGCCTTCCTCTCTGCCAGAGCAATTGTCAGCAGTACCAGCCTTCGTTAGCACCACCTCCTCCAGCTACATCCCACTGATTGGGTCACAGATTCCAACAATGTACAAAGGGCTCATTTTAGAGCAATGAACTCCACCTAAAACCTAGGCAGCCTTTAGGAATGAATGCTGGCCCAGCTTGCCCCATCTATCAATTATGAAATTCCTCTACTTCCTCCCTCCACATTTATGATCCAATGCAGGGGCCGGGGGAACATGTTAATTTGTCATAGCAGGTGCACCTTAAAGATGCTATTCTCAAGCTAAGAGGAAGCAAGCCAAAAACTCAGCTACGAGCCCTGCCACAAGATTGAGTTTCTCTCTGCTTGCTGACAGGTCAAAGCAAGGGAGGGACTGAGAAACTTAAGGCGTCCTTCACAGATTGCACATACACTATAACATCTACATATACTGTCCTGAACTACTGCTGTATCCATGACTGCTTGTAGGCATAAATACTACAAAAGTGCATGCGTTCCGGGGTAATTGTACCCAGCAGGATCCAAGTGCATTGCTACATGCATCCAGCAAACACCCACCCATGTTTGTCACACAAGCTTCCCTTGAAGACACGCAAGAAGCATGTACATCAACCTGGCAGGCCACAAAGTCACACTGTACTTAACCAGTTGCACGTGGGAGAAGGAGGAGGAAAGTAAACAAGCTATATGGGAATTGCATAAGCACACAAACTTCACAGGTACACTCCCCAGGGAAACAAACCAGGTGTATCTGTGCACACTGCCATGTGCCTGGCCTAGGTTAAGCGGGCTCTGTGACCACAGAGCAGCTGCAGCAACCCTTCAGACCAAGCTATCCCGGTGTCAGGCACAAGTACTGCAGGTAAGCGTTTACAGTTGTTAGCATCCCCTAAAGCTAATATCCATGCAAGTACACATGCTATATTCCACCTCCTCCTCTTGACCTCCTTGCTAAGGCAACCCCTGTGTGCCATGCAGGCAACTTTTTCCAATCTTACCAGCATTTGCAGGGAGAGAGGGAGGCAGGTAGCTGCTCAGCCCCTGAACCCAGTTTGGAAATGGGTCCCCCACATTCTGGGCACCTCCGATGGAGAGGAATCTCAGCAGCACCCAGAACCAAAGGTGTGCCAGCATGAAAAGCAACAGCCGGGCCTCCACACTAGGAACAGGGCAAGAAAACTTGCCTGCACGTAGCCAGAATCCCTCCCCTCTCCAAAGAATATAATTGCTATATCCAGGGCATTAATAAACAAGCTATGCAGGTATCTCCGAGAGTCCTCACAGGGAGAGAACATTATACCTCACAGTGGATTTCTTGCCACTACTGCAAAAATCACCTGAGGGTGTAGAGTAGCTATAAATCTTCGAGGGACTTTTATGACCTGCAGTGGCAGAGTCACAGCTTCACTCCTCTTCTGCAGTTCGCAATAGCTTTCATTCAAAGCTTGCTTTGTAACACTTCAGGGAGGCTGGAGGATCCCCAGGAATAGCTCAAAGGGCTACTCTTTGCCCACCCCAGCTGGGAAGACACATTCCCAGCACTACACAGGTGCTACAGCTGTGTTTAGGGGGGGCTGTGGAAACTGGAGGTGTGCTGGAGGACAGGGAACCTGCTGGTTTCCCCTCCCCTCTGGCTCTCTGCTCTCTGAGGGTCAAGCAGTAGCACACCCTGCTTGATTTCAGCTCTTCTCCGAGGAGCTGGCAGCAACCAGGTTTTGGCAACAGGGATTCTAAAGTGCTTCTTCCAAAGTCACAGCTGGACTCGAACGCCATTCTGCAGGTGGGATCTACAGAGCACGAGAGCCACCCTTTGGGGAAGGGACATGAAAAGTTCCTGCTGACTCACACCCTGCTGGATTCGAGGAGACAGGGGCAAGAGTAGGTGGTAATCTGAAATTCAGCTCTCAGAGGGCTGGGGGTTCCTAGCGACTCAAGTCGTACTTGTTAACAGTGGTGCCACCGAGTGTTTTCACAGGCTTGAACTTCCCACTCAAGGGGAGGGATTTGGAGTTAACTGGAGGGCCATTCTCTGGGAAGGGAGGTGCTCAGCACCCACGCTGTATGCTGGAGACAGGGCAGGCTCTCTCCTGACCCAGGCTCTGCCCTAGGGTGGGAGGAAGAGCGTGAGACCCCAGCTTTGGCTCTGGGAAACAAGAAGGGCTCTCAGGAACAACCCAGGCATGGCTCACAGGAAAGCAGCCTGTGGAAATCCCCAGAAGAAAATCACGGGCTAAGGGTGCTCTCCATCCCGCGCCGCACTCCCTCCCTCACTGAAGAAGCCTAGAGCTGTAGCAGATGCCGTGTTCCCCATCACCCTTCTCACGCTTACCCAGAGAGCGAAACTCACAAGGACAGAGCTACGGCAGCCTGTGCCACTCCAGCAGGACATACACCTATTTCCAGCCCGCAAACGACTTGACACCCCTTGTACGAGTGGAGGAGAGAACTTGGGTACTCGCGTCCCTTTGCGGCCAGCCCCCAACGGGGGGCTGTAGCAACGTGACACAGAGAGGGATCAGGGGGAGAGGGGACGTTTGATGCTGATCATACACATGTATTTGTATGTATGTTTGCCCTCCTACGCACACACTCCTGTTACTCCTTCTCTCTTGCTGCAGGCTTGGCACGCATCCCCAGCCCGTGCCCTCCTCGCAAGCCGAGCATGGGCAGCAGATGGGCCTTCGCTGCAGTGCCCCGGCCAGAGGGTGCCTCCATTCCCGGAGAGCCCGCGGTTGCGGGCAGGGGGCCGGCAGCATCGCCTCCCGCCTCCCTCCCCACCGCCGATGCTCCCTAGCAGGGGATGCCGGGATTATGGGGGGGGGGGGCGTGCGGGGAAGAGAATAAAAAATAACACTAATATAAATAAATAAGGAGCGGGAGGTGGGGGCTCTCCGGGGAAGCCTCCCCGGCAGCGCCCGCAGGGGATGACGCCGCACACCCGGGCCGAGGCACAACTTGCAGGTGGCGGCAACAGAGGGTGGGGGACGGACCGGGGAAAAGGGGGGTCCCGCCGCTGCTGCCCGCAGCCCCGGGGCGGCTCCACCGGGGAAGGCGGGTGTGCGCTGCCCCTCGCCGCCCCACCGCCCGCTCGTCCGCTCACTCACTCACCCCCGGCCGGCTCAGCGTCGGTGCCCGCCGGGCCCCCGGCGGGGCGAGGCTGCCGCTCGCCCCCGGCCCGCCCGCCGCCCCCCGGCATGGCTCGGCGCCGGCCGCGGCGAGGCGAGGCAAGCCCGCAGCCCCCCGCCGCCTTCCTTCGCTTTCCTCCTCCTCCTCCTTCGCCGCCGCGGAGCGGCCCGGCACCTCCTCCCGGCCGCGGGAAAGGATGCGATGCGGAGCCGAGCCCCGCCGGCAGCGGCGGGCAGGGCTGCAGCAGCCCCTTTTGTGCCGCCCTCCCCGCCAGTCTCCTCCCCCGGCGCGCCCGCCCGCCCCCCCGGGGCCGCCGCCGCACGGCCCCCCGGAGCACGGCCCGGTCGCCCCCCGCCTCCCCGCACAAAGGAGCGCCTTGTGGCGGCGGGGCCCCGGCGGTCCGCGGCGAGGCAGAGGGTGCTTTATTGAGCGGGCTGCGGTAGCGAATGCCGGGCCAGGCGGTGACCCCCAAGGATGCTGCGGGGTCGAGGCAGCGCCGCGGTGCCGCCTCGCAGCCCCAGCGCGGCCGTAGCATCCCTCCCCGTGCCACGGCGGGCGGGGGGAGGTCAGGAGCGCTCGTGGTTTG